TCCCTTTCAAGGTTTCAATTGCGTAACAAGTCAATCTTCCACATCTAGATTAACCTAACTTCTCTATTATCGCTCAATGTAGAATTTATTACCTAGGTCGGGGAGTCGAAGGGTAACACCATATAAAGATCGTATGCTCTCAATAATCACATATATCATTTTTAAAAGAAAGCAATTAGGGAAATGGATGCAAATGACATTGTAAATAACATGCATGAATCATATTGGTCAAATATGTAACGTAAAGTTCGGGGTATTACAGTGGGCGAAATGTGGATCTATAGGTAGCAGTTTGGTGGGTTGTGAAAGTAGTAGTGGTGGAGAATTTATGATTCTTTTGTAATATTTTAAAAACTTAAGAACTATAGTTGTAGTTGGTTATTCATCTTTTTCTTTTTGTTTTATTTGAATAGGAGGGTAAAATCATCTTTTATTGAAAAATGGTTGAAAATGACATTTTGCACAATGAAATGTGGAAGGTAGGCACAATGACATTGAAAGATAGGAATGTTTTGTACTATTTATCCTTAATCAATTACCACAAAAGATGTTGCTTTGATAACGTGTTACTTCAATTAATTCACTTTCAAATATTATACCTATCAAAAGAGTCATTTGTACCTGAATTTGGAAAAGAAAAATCATCGAATTTGCATATTTGATTTATTTTGAAACTTTAGGAATCAAAAATTAATTATCCAAAATTTTAGGGGTCAATAACTAATTATTCGAAACATTAGGGGTCGAAAAATTAATTATTCAAGATTTTAGGGGCCAATTTAAACAAATTATAAACTTTTAGGGGCTTCATTACAAAATTCAGAACTTTAATAGCCCAAAATAATTAGTTTTCAAATTTCAGGGGCTGAATTATTAAACTTAGAACTTTAAAAGCCCAATTTGGATGAATTTTAACTTGATGGGCTGAATCATTAAATCTTTAAATTTAAGAGGCTGAATTATTAAAACTTTAAACTTAAGAACCTGAATCATTAAACATACATTTTAGAAATTCAAACCCTAACCCTAATTTGAAAATTGCAAACAATGACCTTAAATCATCTAATTTACATCACATATCCCCGCCTCCAAAACCTAAAAACAAGAAAATCTTAGAAAAATGAGGGAAATATGAAGGGGAGTGGCGGCACCGCCCTCGAAGCTGAAGCAACGTTCGCCACTGCCGGGCATCGTTCGCTGCAGCGCCACCGATGACCTGAGTTTTTTTTTTAAACTGAATTTTTGGAAAATCGATCAAATAATTTCCAAATTTAACAAAACTAATACTGGAATCGCTAAATTTGAAATTAATAAAATTATCAAGAATCATATTAAAATCTGGGTTTCCCGTGCGCTACGGCATGCCACTGTCGGCGATGGTGCTGCTTTACTGCAGCACCGCCGACAACCTGAATTTTTTTTTTTTAAATTGAATTTCTAGAAAACCAATCGAATAATTTTCAAATTTGACAAAACTAATACTGGAATCGCTAAATTTGAAAATAATAAAATTATCAAGAATCAAATTCAAATTTCAATTCTCAATGATTTAACATGAATACGCTATGATACCACTTGTTGGGAAAACTTATTACCATCATAATGACCGTTCTTGTTGGATAATCAAGAATTCATGAATCAAAGCGGAATAACTGAATTAGACATGGTTATCGCAATGAATGAATCATACAATTTTTAGTCTTCCAGATCAACACGTAATTCTTTATTTCTCTCTGATGATGGAAGTCAAAACAGAATGAATAATTCACGTATGATACGGGGTTGTATACACACACACACACACACACACACACACACACTAACGAACTGTTTATCTAATTCAGCCCATTATGAAATTAGGAATATGTCTGGTCTCTATACATAAATGCCTACACTTTAATTAGATACTTCAAAACCAAAAACACCTAAATCTTATTAGATCCATTTAAACAGGTTCAACCAAAATTAATAACATTTAATTTAATACACAATAATTCACACATAAGCCCACATGATCAATTAAAAGCCCTTACAATAAAAAGTTTTATTTATTATTTATCTTACTTATTTGAGAATATGGGGGCAAATAATTCTTTTGACCATCAAAGACAAGATATTCTAATTAATAAAAAAATGAGCATAATAATAATAATAATAATAATAATAATAATAATAAGTAAAAAGGAAAAAAAAAAGTTAAGTACATGATTTCAAATAAAGCAAAATTTAGAAATATTTATTGTAATTAATATTAGTAATTAAATATATCATTTTTTTAATTTCCTTTTTCTCCCCGTAAAGGTATTTTGAATAATAAGGGGACAATCTATTAAAAACTTAATACGTAATATATTTTGTTTAATTTTGAAATAGATAGATTTCGGCTTCTCACATATACTCGAAACCTAATTCTATTGCAATTTAATACTTGTTTGATGTGGTTTTAAAATTTGATAAAAATTTAGGTAAAGATAACAATTAATTTTAGGACTCCATAATTTTATCAATTTTTCAAACATAAATTTTCTCTACTCCATAAATGTTGGAAAGTTTTTAAAGTCAGCCCAATATTATTTAAATAAAATTTCAATTTCTTTATAAAAAAAAATAAAATTTAACTTCTTTTTATTCGTTAATATTATTTTATATTAATAAAGTTCACTGGCTTCGATAACCTGTTCTTCTGGCAATAGATTCCTGCTTATTCAGTGGCACATTTGTGTTTTTGACAGCAAAATCGGGATTTGAACCCGGCCCATGACTTGTGGGCAAGAAAGCGCGTTATTACCTTTCAGGTTTCGTTTCACAGTTTCATGGAAGTAGGTAAGAACTTTCCAAGCACGCTTATGACCCACTCAAAGCACGGAAGCGTGTTTCATGAGAATAAAGGCTGAAGAAATTTTTTTCTGCGCGCACACACACCCTACTTTTCTTTCTGTTGAATTTGTTGTGTTGACAAATGAATCAAGATTTTTGTGTCTATTCGATTTTTATTTTTCAAATATTACCGTGATTATTGCTAGAATATTGACATTTGGGGTTGAAGGAAGTGAATTTTATGTGTTGTAAATATTTAAGAATTCAAACTTGTGCTTCACTCAGACAAGGATTGCAACAAAAACTACTCTTTCGTCTCGAATAAATAGTCATACTTGACTTAACTAATCATTAATTATACTTTATCGACGGAGCAATATATTTTTATTTTATGATTTCACATTTAATTCCATCGAAATTTACATATATTTCTAATTTTACTTGGCCAAGCTTTTGACTTCTGAGTTTAAGAAAATGTAAAATATAGTTTTGGATAATTGTTGCACATTATTGAGATGATATTTAATTTCATCGATACATATATGTTCCATAGTTAAGAGTACTTAATAATATTATAAATCTATGTCCTATATATCTGAGAGCATTTGTTTCATTGCCGTGATCTCTTTAATCTAATCTAGATTATTGTTGTTCGTTCCAAAATCCACATCAGATCACTTATGGGTCCACTTTGTATTGCTCATAGAGGACTTTTAATCCAAATCAAAGAGGACAATAAGGACAGTCCATGGCTCCACCCACGCAGATCGAATCAGGAGAGACATCATTTGAGAACATCATCATGATATGACTATAAAAGTATTCTCCTGGACGACGTTCCCACACCCGCCAACCAATTGAAAGAAAGTCATGATAGCCTATGGTTCAAGCCTATAGCCTAGGCGTCATGATAATCCCACCGTCATCGAAATCTTCAATAAATCAAATCTCTTCAAATAGAGCTTATAGTACACATGCCTAGGTCGGACATTGTAACTTAACATGATTATGATGACAAACTCTAATCTGGTGGCCAGTATAAGAGGATAAAAGCCTAACAAAATGACCGGACTATCAAGAAAAATCTCAACTACTTACACTAAAAATCTAGCAAATGTCACATCTAATGTATCAAATTTCAACAAAGATTGCACAATTATTTTGTTAAACTTCTCTAAGCTAATCTAAAAGCACCACGTCATTTTTAGTCATCAACATAGATCATCTTATCCCGTAGTAAATCTGAACTTAACATTGGGCAACTGCAATCAAGCTTCATAAGTTATGGCAATAAATTTTCAGATTGACACATACATGTAAAAATTACTACTCGAAACATGATTATGATTTTCTTTTTTCATGGTTGTCAAACAGTGGCGAAAATAATTAATAATTATGATTTATACAGTACTGAACTGTCTTTACAGCTCTTTATAGAGTACAAGATTTTCATGATAAACTTATCAACAGTCCATTCGATTTTAAATGGCATGCTCTTAGTTATTTTTTCCCCAGTCCATAAACTTAATTATTTGCATGATTGTGACAGAAAAAACCTAGAACTTTCACAAACATTATCTGCTCTTTTTCTCTTCTTCTCAATCTCCCCTTGAACTTCCAATCTAACCCCAAAAAGCATAGGTCCAACGTCGTCTCTAACATTTTCTTCTTCTTCTTCTTCCTCCTCTTTCTCCGAGTTTCCTCCATACATGGCCACCAAATCAAGAAGTTCCTTGCATTTCTTCTTCATAATTGAAAGCTCAGAATTTAGGACTCCATTTTCATTCTTCAGCCTTTTGTTTTCATCAACGAGGGTGGTGTACTCAGATGATGATGAAGTTGATGATGACCTTTGATCTTCATCTTGTTGATCTTTGGGTCCAATTCGGACTTGTACATTAGGTTGTGGCTTGTTGGACCATGCTTTTCTACGACGAATTTCGCAGAGTTGATCTTTTCCACCCTTGCGAAACATGTCATTGCTGAATTCCCATCTAGTTGTTGCAACTTTTCGAAAACCCTGTACATATAGAATTATGTGTGGCACAAGTACTAAGTTAACTAATTTATTCAGTAATATTAATCAATCTTGTGTTGGAAGGACTATCGGTAATTGTCCTACATAATATACATGTATCATTTTGTTATTTGATACATTAATGTCATAGTTTTTTATTGTTTTATGCATCAAATAACAAATTGTCACATGTACGCACGTCAGATGGCTATCGATAATTTTCACCGTGAATAACATTATTCTTAATTATTAAGATGCACCATTCAAAATCTAAATATAAAAGATCCTATCAAAAAAATACAGTCCAAAGTATGAGCAATCAGATAGAGAAAAATTAGAAAGAACAACAATAAGTCAAACTATTCGCTCTAATTGATTTTCTTGTCTTTGACCACTTTATATCATTTTATAAATTTATTTATCACCCATTAATCTAATGATAATTGACTGCTTCATTTTTGTCCCCTTTTTGCTTTAGAAAAATGGGGTCTGCAAATAATTTAACAAAACTATTATTTTGAATTTTCTAAATAACAAGAAAAACAAATCAAGCTAAAAATTTACAAAATAAAAATATCTGAGAAGAAAAGAATTATACATAAGTATTGAGCTGCCTCACAAAGCTGGAGAAGTTGCTGTGCTTGAAGAGTGTTGGTAGCAAATCTCTGGCAAACTCCGCCGGCTGCCACACTATAAACCCTGTCCCTTCGTCGTTCCACGAAATCACTTCATCGGTGGTCGGATTCTCCACCAGCATGTAAGTTTTCAACAGAAAAGGTGGCGGCGACGATTTTCTCACATATTCCAGCAACCCCTTTTCAGTTTCACAGTCCATACTATGTCCCTTTTTTTTGTAAGAAATGGAAATTAAAGAGAGAGATAAGAGAGATTTTATATGTGCGTTTTTTTGTTTTCTTGGCTAAATTAGGAAATTAGAAAGAGAGGCCGTCGTGGTGGTGTGAAGAGGCGGAAAAGAGAAGAAGGGCAGTTAGAAACTCCCAACCCCAGCAATAAAAACCCAATACGACTCCACAGTTCATGAGAAATACAAGAGCTTCTCTTCTCTCTCTCTCTCTGGCCAAACAAATGAACGAAACGCATCTTCACCTCCTCTAATATATATACACCAGGAATAGGGGAGAGAGAGAGAGAGAGAGAGAGAGAGAGATTTCAAAGAAACTCCTGTGCTAATTTTTACTTAGATAAAAATTAATTTTTTAATAAATTATTTTAAAAATTAATATAATTTGTGGTTAAAAAGTTGTGTGTTCTTATTAACATATTTTAAAAATTAATATGTTATTATAATTAATTGTTTATTTTGATTTAAATTTTAATTCAAATTTTAATCTGAATCAAACAAGAACGATATTATCTACGTCTATACATGTGTGTTACGAATGAACTTTAAACTATTTATAAATATCTATTTATAGAGTTGTTATTGTGTGCTATCATCTTCTCTTAAGATTTGCTTTCTTTAATATTCTAGTCAAATAATTGTCCTTTAATTCAAAATTGTGTAGGTGAATTAGGATTGTCGTTGGTCAAAGTTACTTGATAAATTCAAATGGGATAGTGCTAGTTTGAATTTCATTATATGTTATTGAATTTCTAACGTGATTCTTACAAAATGTATATTAAAATTAATTTTAATTTGAACTTATAGTGAAATTCGAACAAGAATATACTAACCTTTTTACAAGGTTGTTTAATTTTTGGAAAATGATGTTTATACAGAAAATTTTATTACAGAAAAATTACATTGTAGACTTTCCAAGGGTATCTGAAAACGACGGTATTAGTGGTGGGAAGTTGTCGGAAAATTTCTCGACAGATTTTCAAATTTTTCGGTAGCCAATTTCGTAGGTATATTTCGACAGAATCCCTTAGATTTATGGCGAGATTTTTGCTTGTAATTGAAGAGGACATTGTGGGCTTTCCAATGTTATCCAAATCCGGCGGTTTTGGTGATCGGAAGTTGTCGAAAAATCGCCACAAAACTTGCCTAAAAATCTGAAAATTCAGTGATCGTTTGTGAAAGAAATTTAAATTTCGTGACCCTTTCTATAAGTTTTATACTTCAGTGATCGATTGTGAAATTAAGCCAATGTAAATTACAGTGGACATTCTATTGATAGATTTTGAAAATGAAATGGTTGACCAGTCATATGTGGAACACGCAAGGTATAAAATATTTGTGAATTGTCATGACAATTGTCAGAGAATTGAATTGTCCTGTAATAGATTATCTCGAAGAAATTGATATTTAATTTAATGTTGGTGTGCTGCTTCTTTCCAATTTCTTGTTTATTGCTAAAATATGATAGTTACGTGCTGATTCCACTGTCCAAAATTTCTTCTTTTCATTCTTAAGTTTGATGGATTTTTCTTAGCCCCGAGTGACTTTTGTTGACTTTTTGTTCCTTTCTTTTGTCTATCAATTTCCATTGACAAGACACTACTCACTCGCAACATTCAGCGCGTGCAATGAAGCCCTTGTTTGAGCCTATTTTTGGACAAAAAATTCATTTTTAAACAGCGTTTTATTGGAGATCTTATGATTAAAAAGT